CATATGCGAATGCATCTTGCTGAATCGATGTTCTGGCCAAACATTCGATTCAAAGAAAGCAAGCAAACTAAATTAGTAGCTGATCACCATCCGTTGACACTTCGGTTCGCTTTAATTATTTCCGAAGTAGATAAGACGAAAGCCGAGGACAATACTCGCACGACTCTCGATAATACCTTTCGGACCAAAGGGAAATCCGAAAGCTTGGTATTCGATCATGAATGTCGTTTGGTATAAGACGAGCTAATGAATCTCGCTATCAGCACCGGCCTAAAGAATTCCCACGCACCGCAAGACAAAAGAAAATTTTTAACTTCGCAAAAACCTTAGAATTAAGGTCTAACTCATCGAAACAAGTACGAAACGCGACACAATAAGTAAATCTTATCTATTAATAAAAATAAACATCTTTTGCCTTACAAAAAAAAACAAAACAAAAAAAAACAACTACAAATTCCTACGCCACTTCGGCAACCGGATCTCCACTGCCACTAATTCAGCATCGGAAGGTCGCATTTGAACACGCGAAGGCGCAGCGAAATCATTTGAAGAAATTGGAGCATCCTTCATACTGTGACGCCCCATCTTCAAACGGTCAGCCGCAGCGGAATGAAGCAAGAAATCATCAACTGGAATCTCGTGTCCTGCCGACCTGAGCTGCTTATAACAATCCGCCCTCACCTCGACATCGACAATCCGAAGTTCCAGCCGATGAATATCGAGCTCTTGCGCCATGAATCTCTTAATACGCTCGATGCAAGGATCATACCATTCGCGGAGGCGCCGATACATTAAATCCACCACGCGATCAACTGAGATATGCTGGTGATCTCGGAACTCTTTTTCCTTAGCAGCCGCGTTCTTGACTTCCTCAGCCGCCCTCTTCTCGAGACTCTCCTGGAGAAGTCTTATCTCTTTGGCAGATTCAATCTCAAGCGACTTGTAGTCGAGCTCTAACTTAAGCTTCTCGCGCTCAAGATCCTTGATCTTCGCCAAAGCACCACGAAGCTCTCGATCCTTTTCCGATAACTCCTCGGCCCTATTCTCCTCCCGAACGGATTCTTTATCGTACGATTCGACCAAAGACGCGCATAAACCTAAACCCTGCATAAAACGTTGCGCCATCCGGAAAAATAAGAAAATCGCTTCATTCTCTCCACTGACATTCCTTGGTTAGGCTTCGCCCTACGTAACTAAGCCAAATTTGCTGCGAAATACTCATCAAACATTGTCGGAGAATCCCCGCCCCAACGAAGCAGGAATTCATGAGGATTGAAACCGGGCTCATCACCAGTATCCACCGGTTTTTCTGGCGAAATGACTTTCGGATCCGATGGACTAAAACCCTGCTCTTCGGCCGTCGCAAAAATTCCTTCTTCTTCGATCGGCAACTCTACCCCTGAATCTTCTGCTGGAGTTCCCAAAGGTAACTGCTCCTTCGCAGGATCTTGCGATGGACCTTCCGATCTAGGCCTCTTGCACGGAGAAAAATCAGGAATATCCACATCCAGCAAGGGAATTTGGCTTCTTTTCCTTAAACCCATATCGCTGTCAAAAATCAAAGAGAAATTAATGGAGCAAATCGGCGCAAAAACAAAGATTTTCTGGAACGCGAAGACGAAGAAGTATCTAAAAAGTAAAAAGACAAGGAGGTGGAAATAAACGATTAAATCAGAAAAAAACATCAATAATTTCCTAAAAAGACGCATGTCAGGATTTTCGCAATCTCGCCGCTTGGCAAAACCCTTCGCCTTTCCCGCTTAAAGGGCAAAACCCTAGCACAGGCCAAAATATTAAAATATTTCTGAAGAAGCGCCACGTGACAAATCCACTTAAAATCGGGCCGAGCTGGCCATCGCGAAGAAGCGCTCTTGACGAACTAATACTTATTGCGAGCTCAAGCCAATTTCCAATATCATGAAGTTCGCCGATCTAATTTACAATCAGTCTCGACAAACTGGGGGGGGGGGGGGGGGGGGGGGGGGGGGACTTACTGTTAGAGGGGAAATGAGCATATTTCCTAAAAGGCCACCCCTCGTAATAACCTAAGCCCGTCAAAGATCAGGAAGACCACACCGAAGTTCAGATTAAAGGAAACAATTTGGAGATAACCCTTGAAGACCGGAAACATCGGACTAATTCAAAGGATAAAGGAGAATTTTCTTATTCATCGGAGAATAAAGGATATTTCCATATCGTAGATATGGAAATATTCATAAAAAGACAAAAGGAAACGGAGTTCGGAGCAACCGACCTCCTATCCCTATAAATAAAGGGACCCCGAAGCTAAGAAGACCAACTCATACATTATAGAGAGCAGCAGAGCTAAAACAAGAGACTCCAACGCTTTATAGTTTTCTTCGCAAACATTCTTTTTACTTCGGCATAACCTCTCGGTTATTCCATTCTTTGTAATCGTTTCGCTCTATTGCTAATAATAAAAGACTTTATTATCTGAAACCCACAACTGTTAATCAAAACCCTAGTGGTGATTTTCTGGTTCAATACTAGGTAATACATAAATATTTTTTAAATTACTCAATTTTGTTTTCATTTATACTTTTAAATGTTATTTTTTATTTTTTATTTTTAAATTTATCATATTAAATATTTTTTTTAATTTGTTTTCTTAAACTTATAAAAAAATAAGAAAGTTTTGTTCATCTTTTTAAATACTTCAAATTTGCTTTAAACTACGATAAATTTTTATAATCACCCTATATTATCATGTGTATATCTTTTAAGAAATTTTAGTGTTAATTTTATATTTATTAGCAATGAAAATTAAAAAAGTTGATGAAAACTATTATATGATAAATGGAAGTTGATAATAATTTATTACAGTTGTCTGCTACATGATGACTTACATAGATCTTGAAAAGTTATGTTTATTAAAACAAACTTACATATATCTTTAAAAATTGTGTTTATCAAAATTTATATCCTACTGTAAAATTTCCTTATGTGAATACGCATGTATGAGTTAAATTTAGTTATTATTATATTATTTTACTCGACTTCTTTATTGATTTTTTTTAGTACAAAAAAATAAATATTTAATGGTTCACGAACTATATTTTCTTCATAACTATGTTCTTCATTTATAAATTTGTTTTTTTTGGTATATGTATACTTTCTAAACCAATACTTTTTAATGATTTAATGTGTATTTAGATTTGATTTCATATTTAATATTTGACGTTATATGTTATAAACCGATAAAACTTGTGATTAATTATTTGAGATTTATTATAAATATAATATTTTATTTTAAATATATCAATAATATTATTTTGATTTGGTTAATCTATAGTATATTATTTCACTTATAAGATTAATTTTATTTTAATTTTCTTATAAAAATTAATATTTTAATGAATTATTTATTTATCTTTAATTTATATACATCAATTTTCTCAATTTCTCTTTTTGCTGAACATAATGTTCTTTTTTTTTTTATCACTTTTTTACTATGTATACACATTTATATATAACCAGTTATATATCTTGATTCATGTACTCTTTCTGATATTTCAACACATTGAACTCTAGACTCTACTATTTAACTTGGGTATATATTACATTGACCCGCATATACACGCATAATTATATTTTATTATACTTTCTCTGTTTCAAAATAAGTGTTATTTTGACACTTTATTTTTGTTTCACAAAAAAATGTCATATTATATTTTCAATACAGTTTTTAAAATTTATTCTCAGTTTTATTTCTGTTATTTTAACCTTTTAATTAGAGAGAAAAACTGTTTTAGTGTATTGTCAAAATATATAATAGACAGTTACAAAGTTTTCTTAATTTGTGTGAAAGATGTCAAAATGACACTTTTTATAAAACGGAAAAAGTATATTTTTAAATTTATAAATAATACACGCGAATTATTTTTGTAAATGTTTTAAATTAGTGAGTTAGTAAAACAAATTACTTTATCATTTTCTTTTAAAAATTAAAATGTTTGATAAAAAAATATAAAGTATTTTAAAAAAAAATATCAAAATGCTCTAAAATATCACTTGCTTTTTTTATGACTACATTTTCATATTATATATATATATATATATGTATTTTTTCACAAACTTGGGTCATAATCTATCTTATTTTTTTTTTAATTTCCAAAGGTTTCATCATTTTTATTCGAGAGCTGTGCATACAAGCTGCAGAGGCTTAGTGAAGAGAGCTAGGTTTGTATATACCCAATCATTATTCTTTCTTGTCTCCTTTTTAAGGAAAACAAGCCAAGTCTTGATAAGTTCTATGCGGAAAGCTTTGGACTCCCATGGATTTATCGAGTTGCTTGATACAATCCACAAACAGTCCAAAAAATATTGAAAATAAGAGCTCACCTGGAACTATACCACGTTGCTGATGAGTTTTGAAGGCTACGTTCTTTTAGTGCTCGGTGGATTTGACTCGATGAAGCTGCAAAGTTTTCCAGCTTTAGAAAAATGGAGATGTAATCATAGATTTGATTTTTTCAGACAAAAATGGAAGCTCACAAGAGCAACAATGAAATCTTGTTCTCCTATGCAAGCATAACAACGGGGAATCAAATAGCCTCTAGTTCTGTCTTTTCTACAACTTCAACATGTGTTGCTCTTTGCACCTCTTCTTTGTGGTAGATATATATTCATACATCTAGAATATTCATACAAACTCATCGAACATTATGTTATTTTAATACAAATCAAACTTGCATTGTTGGATCGGTTTGAAGTTCCAATCGAGATCATATAGATTATTTGTAATGAAGAAAATGTACGGTAATTTTGATTCTTCATCATCTTAATTCGTAACATAAATTTTTTGATTCTTCATGATGAAATCCTCGGTAAGGCTGTAGATCATGAAGAAACGATCAGGGTGCTAAGCAGGAGGAGCCGTGTGTAGCTCAGCGCAATCTTCAACCGCTACAAGGATATCTTCGGCAGGTCCATCATTAAGGTATAAGACAACAATAAAAAAAAAAAGACTTGGAATCAATATGCAGGTATAAAGCATTCATACCAGTTCTACTTCATGAGAATGTCCTTTTGATATCTGTAATGATACATGTGATGTCCAGGATCTCCTCAATCACCCTACAAATGATTACCTGAGTGCACTTCGTGCAGCCATCAGGTGCATCAAAAACCCTAACCTGCATCACACAAAGGTAAGATACAACAATTGTATTATCACAAATGTTAATTGTGGTCTCCAATTATATCCTAATATGACCAACTGCTATTCATAATCTTCTATTAGTCTCTTCTGCACCTAGGTTTTGCACAATGCAATCAATACAGTAGGGACTGATGAAGATGCTCTGACCTGTGTGATTGTCACACGAGTAAAAAAGGATCTGAAGACGATCAGTGAGCTGTATCTCAAGAGGAACAATGTGAGTCTCGATCAAGCCTTAGCGAAAGAGACATTAGGGGACTACAAGACTTTTCTTCTAGCCTTGCTAGGACATTTAGAAACTTAAGAGTTGATCCTCCCAAATAAAAACCTGAAAACAGTGCTCAAGTAATAATAAAGTTTATGTTTGAATGCTTCTTTAATCACTTCTGTTGTTTAGCTTTTCACAGTAAAACTGGAATTACGAATCATCCATTTTCGTTTAATAAAAGACATTGTTCCAAAGGAACACAAAGGAACTAAACAAGCTCACTGAAGATCAGGGAAACATGCACATGTGTCTGAGCCTGTCTGCACTCCGGTTCAACCTTAAAAACCAGAGAAAGAAAGAAGAGCACACTGGTCAATACATCAACAACGATATGGTCAAACCTCCAAGCACCGTTCTATACAATTCCGGGTTCTTCAATAGTTACCGCTTGGATAGTACCCAACAGCAAGGAGATAGATCTTCTCCCTTAGTTTCATCGGACTTGAATCATTAACCACCGAAGCTGCGAAACAAAGCAAAACATTTCGCTGTTATCAAACCAGTAACATGGATTCAAATCATCCATCTTTGGACGTGTTTTAAGGTAGCTGAGATTCCATAGATGTTAAACATTCACAAGGAAACAAAATTGTAGATTGTAAATATAGAAGTTATTTACCTTTAGGCATAGCTATCCCACACTGTATATCTGCGTGTATCTTTGAATGAACAAGAGCCCACTAATAGGCGCATGATGCATTCCTTCTTATGCCCTTCGTCTTGGCCTTTCTGGGCTTCTGCAAGCTCTTCCTCACATCCCTGTGAATGATTTTAAAGAATGAAAAGACGCCTTACAAGTTTTGTATACATGTCAAAAAATTAGATAAACACAAAAGAGAATCAAACATACGAAGAAAATGAAGGAGGTATCAAAACAATTGGGAAATCGTAACCTCGAGGTCCACGAGCCGTCAATTTGGAGGAACAAATGGAAAATCATAAAAGTTACCGACATGATGTCGACGGCGCACAAGCGAAACTCATCGCCGTAGCCTGAGGCAGTGCCGGAGAGGAAGCCAGAAAAGGAATCGACAAATTTTTCTATCGTCGCATAAATCGTTTCTGTTATTCAATACAGAAGACCATAATAGAGATTTATATTCGGTGGCTTATCGGAATTAGTGTAGATAGAATATTGACCTATCTTCTACATTGAAGACTCAGGAGATAAGATAAGACGAAGGATTTGGAAAAGCTAAAAATTTATTAAAAAAAAAAAAAAAAATTTAAAACTGATGTGTCATTGAGAAGACAAGTGAATCTTATAATATATATATATATATATATTTCCTCACATATTTTCTATTTATATAATAAATAGTCTATCACATTTTATATATTTTCTGAGTTTTTACAAAATTTTCCAAAAAATGTCAAATTTTTTTGATTTGTCATAAAATTATTGGAAGTTTGGAAAAAGGTTTTATGAAAGAAAATTTATTGAATCCGTCTATTATCTAAAAAATTTCATCTCATTTTTATTAGATTATCTTTTAGAATCATTTTAATTTCCAAATTACTCATTCTCTTTCTATACTTTTAAATTCATATACTAAATTCCAAAATTTTCAAAATTAGTCTTTTGAATAAATAATATTTTCTTCCATATAAACACTTTTTCAAAAAATGAAATAGATACATTTATCTAAAATGATTCATATATCCTTTGTTTGAAAAAAACTATTACTTGATGTTAGGATTGTAGTTTTGAACAAAAAAAAAGATGTTAAGATTGTAGTCTATATTACACCTATATTACATCTATAGAAATTAGATTAAAATGTTATTATCAAAATTATTTTTATAAATTAATAATTTATTAATTAATTATTAATTTTATGGAATAATAAATTTTGGAAGTTTTAATTTTTTAATATATATATAAGTTTTACTGTTGATTATCATTTGGATTTAGATGTTTTTAATCAACACTAAAAAAGAGTGATAGTTAAATTGATATAATTATTTTTTAAAGTTCGATAAGAAAAAAGTTTTTCTACCCACTAAAAATAATCGTCAATTGAAGCAAAAGTTTTTGAGGCTCTTGTTATACTTTAAAGTAATCATAATCTCTAAATTAGATGTAGTATAGGATTTTAGGTGTCAAACACACTTGTGGATATTGAGATACAAACAATGCTGTAAGCTAAGTGAGATTGAGGATTTGTTTGTAAAATAGCAACTCCATTAACCTAACAATGCAATAAAAAGAAAGCAGAAATCAAATACAAGCAAACAAAAACTAATCAATAAACTCAAAACAATAACTAAGCAAGAACTAAATGAGAAAGACAACTTAAGCAATACTAAGCAAGTTGATCTTAAGAAAATTAATAAAAAGCAAGACTCAAGATTCTAAGCAATTGTGGGATTAGTGGCTTTCAGAGTGACAAAAGGGATTTCTAGCAAAGGTAAACATCAAGCATTCATAAGCAAGTTATTCTCAATGTTGTACTCCTAGACAATGTATCTAAAAGGAATCAGTTTGGCGTCAATAAGCAATTCATATTCAATAAGATTGAAGTGTCAAACCCACTTGTGATGGTGTATTCTTCAACCATGAGCATAAAGATCAGAACCATTCTAGCCTAAGAGAAGTACTAAGACAAAAACAACTCTCACTCAAGAAAGAATTCAGATCAACTAATCAATCTTGTAAACCATATAGGGACCTAGTTAGCTAAACACCAATCAAGAATATGGACTTAAGCACACAGTTGCGAAATCCTAACAATGCTAAGCAATTAAGAGATATCAAACAAAAGCAAGATCTTTCAATGCATATTATCTAACCATCAAGCAAAAATCTCAAAACCAACATTATCTAGCCCTAAGCGAATCATCTAGCAAGGTGAACTATCACTTTGGTGTCACTTAACAAAGAAAACATAGACCAAGCTAAACTATCAAGCCAAATAAGCGAACCATGCATAGAAATGAGATATCAAGACATCAAGTAAACCATATGCATCAGTTAATACCATATTCAATCAAAAGGAGCAAGATTTATGAACAATAATCACTTTGCAAGAGAAGGAGACAACAGAGAATAAACTAATCTAGCCTAATCACCCCTTATCACATCTTAATCACCACTTTCCCTACTTAGAACCCTAAATCTGAGGTAAACTACTCACTAATCATGTTTAATCTCATTTGTTAAGAAAATCGTCCTTTAAGGTGCAAGAACAAGATGAAAAGAGAGAGTTTTTTTATAGAAAACCTCAGATGACATAAAGACAATGTTTTGTGATTTCCCTTTTATTGTAGGGAACCAAAAGAATGATAAAAAAATCTAAAAACAAGATAAGGTCAACGAAAATCAGATGGTCAATGTGGGGATAAGTTGCATCGGGGTTGTACGGACGGTGTTTTGCTCGATGTACAACCCCGATATGGCTCATGCAGCGCGTATCGGCTTCCTTGCTCGATGCTGGACCTCGATGCAGACCAAAGGCTTGGACTCCTCGAACCGATCCTCTTCCTCATGTCCTGCAGCTTACATCGAGCACACTCCAAAGAGGCTTACATCGAGCACACTCCAAAGAGGCTTACATCGAGCACACTCCAAAGAGGCTTACATCGAGCACACTCCACATAGGTTTTGCTCGCTATCTACTCCCACCCATGCCTTAGCTCATTATGCTTGAAGCTCATGTTTTGTGCTCTTGAGCCTTATCAAATCCGAATATTTCTTCAAGCTGAGTGAATCACATGGTGTATCATGCTTTGCTGGCTCTGAACTTGATGAATCCATTGCCAAAGTCTTCTTCTCCTTCATCATACTCTTCATCAAACTTGTAAAAGTAGACTTTGAAGCTTGCAAGGAACTCACAAGAAAGTTGCTTGTATGTTGGATACCCAAGACTAGCAAACTTCTCAAGTCCAATGTTGCTTAACAGATAATCCACCTCAGTCTTGATTCCCAGCTCTTCCAAGAGACCAGGGCTAGCATATCTTGTTGGAGCAAAGTCCACTCTCCTCATTGCCCTCATGCAGTCTTTGAGCTTAGGTGCTGCATCTTGGACTTTTTCTTCTTCAACCACTGGCCGTTTTCCCTTTTCTATGTTTCTTGCAACAGCATTTGAGTCAGAAATATCTTCATCTCCTCTAGTGCTCGACATAGTACCTGAAAATGCAATGCTTGAAGCAAAAATTAGCATAATATCCTTTGAGAGCACTGTACAGAAAATTATTTTTCAAAATTCAAGCATGCACAGGAAAATTCTATAACAATTCACACTGATTGGTAACAAATAGAGTCGAATTTAGCAAAACCTTTCAACTTAAAAGGACGATCACACTGAAAGTTAAAATTCTAACAACAACAAGCATTGATTTAGTCAATTTCAAGTATTTTTTTTTTGGTCAAACAGTCAATTTCAAGTATATGCATCAAAAATATCATCATCTCTCCACCAAATTATGAAAATGCATCAGATTCATCACTATTACTCTAACATGAACCATTTAAATGGTGAATATGCTGAAAAACAATAACATGCCTAGATCTGGCCAAAATCTAAAAAATATGCCAAAATTAGAACAAAATGAGCATTTCCCAAACACTTCAACCATAAATTATCAAAAAGAAAAGTAACAATGGTGACATGCAATTCAAAACCATGATCAAAATTATGCAAAACAGTTTCAGCAATCATTCTAATGCAACTTATTTCATCTTGCAAAGATTGGACTCTAGAAATGAAGATTCTAGCAAAGTTTACCTTAATCCTTGAACCAAGAAATGAAGTTCTAGAACAGAGAATGCAAGAGAGAAGAAAGATATGTTTTTTAATGGTGTTTGGCTCGATATGGATGTGGAGAGAAGGTAAAATGCTAGTTTTAAGGTAAAAGATAAGGGAAATCTAAAATAAATAAAAAAATGCAAGAAAATCTAGTTTAAAATTCAAAAATGCATGTGAGGGGGAAAGAAAAGATTCATTTACCAGCCACCAAGGTCCACAAAATGTTTTTACTCGATTTACCCATGTAAAAATTTTAAAAAGAATTTTTACACGGATCATATCGAGCAAAACACTCGATGTGTACCATATCGGGGACGTCGGGTCATGTGGCTCGGCGATCCTGTTCTTATGCCTCGAGGGCTCTGTGTTCTGATCAGCTTCTCCTCTGGGGCATTTTGCATCTAGCAGGCTTAGCAGATGTTCTGCTCGATGTTGTTGATCGATGTAAGGCGACACTTTGGCTTGCATGATCCTCCCTGTGGGCAGTGTGTGGCATCATCCAGATGTCTGTTCTTGGCTCGGACATTGTGCATCGAGCAAACATATTGGTGTTTTGCTCGATGCTACATCTCAATGTGGATCTTCTCATACCCGGATGTAATGCTCGTCGGTGGTTGTCGTACCAGACATCGTCTGATGCTCAAGTTAGATGTTTTGCTCGATGCTACTCCTCGGTGTAACTCCATCGAGCATCTTCGTCGATGTACGGGCTGGGGCTCCATGATGTACGGTCGAAAGATTGTATCGAGCAAGAGTTCGCGAGGCTCTGCTCGATGTTGCACCCTGATGTGATCACCACCGTGCAACTTGGTTGATGTACAGTCCATTTTCCTTGGTGTATGGACTGAGGCTCCAGGAGCGATCACATCAAGCAAGGCTTTAAAGGTTTTGCTCGATGTTAACCCCCATTGATCCCATTCCCTCTAAGCTGAACCTTTACCTCGAACTGCTATCATAACTATCCACATGCAATCTGCTCGTTGTACTGACTGCTCCTTCCCCGAGATAAACTGTATTGAGCAGCAATGACAGATGTTCTGCTCGATATGGTACCTCGATATGAAAACAGAGTTTTCTTTCCTTGGCCTTTAAACCATCCTACACAGCCATGTACCTGTTCTTTGACCTCTGAAACACTAAATAGAGACATTAGTAATAAAAGAAAGCATATATTTACAAGGATAGTCATGGGATTACCTCCCAAGTGTGCTTGTTTTAAGTCAATAAGCTTGACTTTGATGGTTTGAGAACTAGTGAGAAGAGGTTGATGGAGCTGGTGCTCCTTCCTCCTTCTTCTTGTAAATCCAAGTAC